GGTGATCCTAATCTTCGGAGTCGCAAACTATGAACGCGGCCGTGGAGTCGTTATCAACTGTTATCACGTTCTATAACCAGGTGTCGTTCATTGTATTGTTCATTAGGTGTTCGCATCCCAGCCTTAACGGCTCTTACCTAAGATGAAGTAGGTAGCTAGAAGAGGTAGCTAGTTCAGTGAAGCAGTGTTTAGATACTTATTGAGACTTTGCGAAAGAAGCAGAAGTGGAACTACTTGAAGAGGCAAACGTGGAAGATGTCTGAGAAGTGTGGATACACCGGCGGAAGAGACGGTGGAGGGAAAGAATGAGCCAGAAGAAAACATCGACAGGAAATCAGAAAAGGAAAGGATAGAGAAAGGAAGGGATGTCAAACATTCGAATACCACTTTAGCTGAGAATTCGACGGCTGACGAGTTTTTGATTGTACACTAAGAGCGCTATTGCTCACCTCCTTTTTTGTTTGTAAATCTTCTACCTTGTAAACTGCTCCACATCCACCTTCACCGAGTTTTCTGAGTATCCGCCACCGTTTGCTTATAACTTTTCCCTTCGGTATCTGAACGGGCCCAGAGTCTGACCCTGAAAAAATCCATACTTGAATTTTACTGCTTGGGGACTTAACTTTGCTCTGAAAGAGGGTGTAGGCTACAGGCATTGCGTCGAACCCTGTCTAGCAAATATCGCTGAGTGCGGCGTACAATACCAGAGCGAAACATACAGGATAACCAACCCATAGAATGGTATGCGAGCTACCACGACCGGCACTCGACCATAAAATAATACACCTTACGCTGCTATAGATAGGAAAACAAATATACGATATCAAGCAATGAATGATATTTGTTTCCATCTGCTTCTCATTTTGTATATCATGAGCGCTTAGTTCCGCACGCTATTCGCAAGCGCAAGCACCATGCGTCTTTAGTACAACTGAACAACGGTGCTCATGTCCTTGGGGGGGGGACATCCAAGTGAGTGAGCCAATTACTGTGCTTGGGACTGAGCCTTAGGCAGGGGAAGGGATTCTATGGGAAGATGCAAGCAATATGTGTGCTCCCTGGCGTTTCTCCCCTCTCCTGGGCTTAGTCCTAGTGTCACCTGCCATCGGCCTTGTTGTTGATGTCCCCCCCCCCCCAAGGACATGAGCGCCGCTATTAGTTACCCACCCCTTCCACATTCCATCATTTAACATTTATTGAAGACGATCCCGTCATATCGAAGCAATCTACTCATCAAACGTTCATCTCCTAAGAAGTAGTCCTCTAGTAATAGTTCTACTTCCCTGCATTGTTGCAGGTTCCAGCTTGAGCCACATACTGCGCTTCATCGACTCATATTGATAGACGAATCCATGTGGCAGCCAGCTTTCTTCCTTAAAAGAGAAGCGGTTATATGAACGAAGTTGGATGGAAAATGAAGTCTGCACCTCCTCGCTTATCAGATCCTCGTTTGGATTCACCAACAATACTGCACCACATCGTCATCATTCTTACCTGGATGCCAGACCACGCGAAATGGCGACGAGGTGTTAGAGGAGATAAACGCGCGAAGTCTGCAAGTAACCGAAGAATTTACAAGGCTTTTCATCAGGGATGTATTTTGATATTGGTTCTTGACCTCGTGAAATCTTGGACCGAGTGGAGCTTTTCGCCAGCATAGCTCTGTCACCTATCATCTCCTGTATACTCCATATCTCGAAGTCAGATTAGGCGTGTCTATGGGTTTGACGTGGCGGCCGCCGCACTTGATGGAAGTTGCGCGGATAAGCTGCTTCCAGCATGCTTTGCTGATATCCAATGGAGTATGTTAGAAACAGCCTATCCACACGGCTTTTATCAAGTGCGGCAACGGCCACGTCAAATCCATAGCCACGCCTAATCTGACTTCGAGATATCACCTGTATCACCTGTCGTCCCGTTGATCATCGAATTGCTCGAGCGGGCGCCAGCAACGTCTCCATTCGTCCCTGTCGCGTGCAAGAGTTGTCCAGTGGACCCTCCTCGCTCGAGGGACACGATGTCCTTCATTCCTTTCGTTCAGAGCTTTCGTGAAGAAGTCTGACCATCGGGCCGGCGGTCGTCCAGGTGTTCGTTTGACGTCCCGAGGGATCCAGTCGGTAACCGCTTTTGGTCCAACGGTCATCACGAAACGTATTACGTGTCCATTGAATCCTTCCGGCCCACCTTATCACTTATCACAGCGTTGCTAATCCCCTGATGCTACATTTGTGTGGTCCAGGGAGTTTGCTCACCCAAAAAAGTAACTAGAGTAAAAGAAATCCGGTGTTTAAAGCACAATCCAGAAAAGCTGTTCAAGGAGGCTGTAAATGTCATGTTACCATGGCTCGCCTTTGAGTGATAGCAGGATCTCTCATTCCGGAGGTGGTTGCACTGACACGACTTGAGAGTGCGCAACGAGAGAGCTAATCCCTACGCTCAATTGCTGTAACCGCTGCAACCCTTGAGGTTTGCTGAAGGCACGTATCAGATCAATATGGTGAGGCTTGCACACGCATACGAAAGTATCGGTGCGAAATGGGCCGGCAGTAAGAAAAAAATCTGACGAGAACGCTTAGGTTTAGGGCTTGCCACCTTTGTAATGCA